GGCTGTGCTAAGGCAATGAGAGACTAAGCGCGGAAGGAGAGTATGGGACGAGAGAGCACTGTAAGTGAGAGGGCGCCAGACAGCAGCGTGATACAAGAAAAAACTGCAGCTGCTGCAGCTTACTTTGCAAGGCCCTAACGCTATTATCGGTTGATTTCCGTGCATGGGAATGCCACATCTTTGGATTAACCTCTAGGGGTCTATCCCACAAGCTGAACAGGATCCGTCACAACGGCGACTTCTGGCCTGCACTGTGCCTCTATCTTCAACAATGAAACCTCGTCCGAATCATTACACATCCGGAAAGCGTCTGTGGAATCGCGACCTCGGAAGAGTATTTTGGTTCACGTAGTGAAGAGCATTTATCGGCACAGACCAATTTTCGGCAAATACGAAATATCAACGAAGAATGGGCAGAACACACTTATCTGTGACGGGCTCGCTTTGATTCCATCATAAGGAGTTCTCTGAACTATAAGAATTTCAAAAAAGTCAAACACATGTGGGCACTTACATATATGTTTTCGGGAGACTACCAAATTAATTATAAAATCATAAAAAAAGCATTTGTCACTAATCAATCCTTTTTTGGAATGCTGCACGCATTCTACTTTCCATTGGTACATTCGTAGTGGCGTTGAGTGCGATTCGTCCCATATCGATTTGCGGGGGCCCAGTCAATGTAATGCATAGTCATCTCTCAGACAAGTCCTGGTATCGAATTCTAAGACCGCGGAGGATGGAAGCGTGATTGGCCGGACGACCGCGACCCCGGATTCGATCGCTGCACGGGCGCGTGGTAAGCGTGCCACTTCCCATTACACCACTGCCGAATTAAATCAATTATACCACCTATAATGAGTGTATTTCAGGTCTGACGACGGTTTATACACCGAGAAATCGCGGAAAATCTCGAAGGAATTCTTCTTCAATTGTTTTTTGGTTTTTTGGAATTTTTGGAGTTTTTTGGAATTTTGTGAACTTTTGGAATTCTTTTGGAAAAAAATTTTGGTGCCTCTTCGTGTTCGTACAATATTTAGGTCCTGACGAGGCTCCCGGACAGCACAATACTATAGGAATTTCTATTGAGCGGTTTGAAGGCAGTTATCTACTAGTGAGATCGCTTGCACGAATACTGAGCTCCTCAGTTCATTAGACGGTATTCGAGGTGCTTATACGCAGATGAGTCGGAAGCAATAAATCTGGATGAAAGAAAGAAAAGTGGATGAGAGCGGAGATTCATCTCCGGAAAGCCTCTGAAACGATCTTAGGTTTCACAGCGATAGGTATAGGACAGGAAATAATTCACCATCAAAGGGAAATGAGCTAAGTCGTTTTTGTGGCCTCTAATACACACTAAGCGTACGCATGCGGCGATGAACGCCATAGCGTGGCGCAGCGAAAAGTCGGCGCAAAAACGGCCGAAACACGAGAAAACGAAAACGAATGCTTCGGAGCGTCGAGTTTCGAATTGCCGGATGTAGCCTGAAATGGCTTGGGGTGGTCAGGCAAAGCTCTCCGGTTGGCTTCCATATTGATTGTCAAGCTCTCCCCTAGCTGAAGGCGGAGACGGGGAGGGTCGATGGCTTGGCCGATGTCCAAGCGCGGTGCCTTCTCAGTACGACGTAGTCTCTCGCCATTGTCGGCGCCCTAGGGTTCAGCTGTTCAGCATGTCCTCGCCATTACGTTCAAAACAATGACGATTTCCTGCGATGGTTTTTGTCGAATCATAAAAATGCTCGGCGAATTCCGTTGCATCTCCAGGGACCTCCAACTGATGAACATCTCGTTTCGTTCTCATGAACACTGGATTCCTTTTTGAAACGGCTTCCACCACTGAATGCAAAAAACTCTCCTGAATATGCTTGAAAATGACAAAAAATAAAATAAAAAATTCCGCGTTGTTACTGCAGCACCCCCGGCCCGGTTGTAAGCTTTGCTGTCTTATCCTGCACGGTCCTTCCCATACTTTCATCTATGATGAGCAGAAGACTCTCAGTTTTGACGGGGAGAATATCTCAATCTGCGTGGTTCTTTGCATCACAGTAGAATTGTGGTTTATAATCATTTATTTTTCAAAAGAACGCTGAATGTAGGCAAAACTTTCGCCCCAGCCGGGATTCGTACCCGGAACTCTTGCTTTTCGAGCAATTGTGCTACCAGTCACACAATTCTGTTCTGCAAAATCGGATTCAGTTACTGGTAGTAACTGTGTAACTGGTAGGACAATTGCCCGGAAAGCAAGAGATCCGGGTACGAATCCCGGCTGGGGCGGAAGCTTTGCCCACAACTCAGCATCAGGGTCAAGCGTGCGTTGA